TTCACAATGTTGAGTCTTCCTATCTATGAGCAAGGTATGTTTTTCCACTTATGCAGGTCTCTTTTGGTTTCTTGCAGTAGTGTCTTGTAGTTTTCATTGTGTAGGTCTTTTATGTCTCTGGTTAGATTTATTCCTAAGTATTTTATCTTCTTAAGGGCTACTGTAAATGGTATTGATTTGGTGACTTCCTCTTCGAAGTTCTCTTTGTTGGTGTGGAGAAATTCAACTGATTTTTGTATGTTTATCTTGTATCCTGATACTTTGCTGAAATCTATTAGTTCCAGTAGTTTTTTGTGGATTCTTTGGGGTTTTCAGTGTATAAGATCATATCATCTCAAACAGAAAAACTTTTACTTCTTCCCTACCAATTTGGATGCCCTTTATTTCTTTTTCTAGCCTAATTGCTCTGGCTAGGACCTCCAGCACAATGCTGAATAAAAGTGGTGATAAAGGGCATCCTTGTAAAACAAACATCTGACTAACTGACGTTGGATATGAACTGCACTTAAGTGTTCCTTTTGATTTACGCGTAAATTTGACTTAAAGACAGACTTAGGAACAGAACTTGTTCATAATTCAGGGACTGCCTGTATGTCCTCATGTAGGTTGGAATATGGTTTTTTTAAGTTTATAAATCACTAACAAAAAAAAAAAAGGCTGTTATAATTAAAGTTCAAGCAGGCTAAGCATCAGGTAGGCCACGCAGCTAAAGGGGACCGGGTGGTCAAACTGCTTCGTGACAAAGGCATTACATGCCTTTTAGCATATGACGATTCCAACCTAAGGGTGCTTCCTCTTTGATTCAAACACGATAACTCAATCAACTTCCCCTCAATAGCAAAATGAAGAAAGAATGTTTGTGAAAAATCAGGTTTAGTATTCTGACATACACAGTGGACAGTGGAAACTGGTAAGAGACAATGCAAGTTATCTCTTTAGACTTATCTCAGTGAATTTAAAAAAATAAAGTACATCTGTTGTTTAATAATGTTTACTGCTTCCTTGTCCTTAATATAAGATCCAACATAAAATACAGTAAAGCATATGTGGATGCTGTTGTTTTTGGAAGGGAGGCGGCAAGACTCTGTGACCCATTTGGAATGTGGCTTATAAAAATAAACTCTTCAGACCAAGATTTACGAGGGTGTGCTAAGGCAGGCCAGACAATCTCAATAATTTAGTGAAAACCAGACCCAGAGAAGCTAAGTAACTTGCAGGTCATACAGCTAGTAAGTGTCAGAGTCCAGACTGGAAACTAATTCATCTGATTCTAAAGTGTGTGCTTTTTATGAACCAATACAAAGCTATTTATATTCAACTTTGGAGTGCATCTTATAATTGTGCAGAAACAGGAAATTCATCTTCTCAACTGTGTTCTGCCCTGATTAATGTTTAAATTAGTCTGCCTTCCCCAATGGCCACAGTTTGATGGTGGCACTTATGATGACTGATATCCTTAGTCACAAATGGAAAACTGAAAGCAAACTTTGCAACCTGGATTTTGGTATCAAAAATATCCACCAAAACGATAATAATAGGATACGTTCAGTTAATTCTTAAAGATATTCTTTGATAACAGGAAACAAGAAGCCCACCCACCATTCAGGAAAACAAAATTCTTTAACCCAGTTTAATAACAACCTGAATCTGTCCTCTATCTTTCATCTGTACTGATTTAGCATCAGGTAGGCCAGAACTGCTTCATAATTAAGATGACACTGGGAGGTCAGCTGTTTGTGATGGTGTAGCAATTTCAATTTGCAGTTGCCGACATAGCAGAGGAGAGAAAGAAGAACAGGTCTGCCAAAAGCAACATGACAAGCATGACACTGGCCCACGGGAACCAAGGCAAAAGCATCTCTAAGCTGAATGTGGTCTCCTTGGCTTCCCATTCCAGATGAGGTTTGGAGAATCTCGGCAGTTACACTAAGACCAACGCTAGCAGGATCGCAGCAGTTACACTAAGACCAACTCTAGCTCTTTGCACATTCGTGAACCTTCGATGGTAAGTTACTTGTTCTAATCAGTCTGGCTTAACCCACTTCAAATCCACGAGGTTGTGAATGATCTGATTATATGCATATTTAAGCTAACATTTTTTTAAAACATCCAGTTGAAGCAAACTGGTTGATTTTTAAATGATTGTTGATGGCCTAAAAAAATGAAAACCACTACTGCCCCCTGGTGGTCATGACAGTCACTCTTCACTGAGAAGGTATATTTTCAGTTAACAATAGGTATTAGAGAAGCCCTGCTGGCACAGTGGTTAATTGCTCAGCTGCTAACCAAACGACTCCTGGTTTAAACTTACTAGTCGCTCCGTGGGAGAAAGATGTGGCAGTCTGTTTCCATAAAGATTTACAGCCTTGGAAACCCTGTGGGGCAATTCTACTCTGTCCTATAGGGTCACTATGAGTCGGAAGCAACCTGATGGCAATGGGTTTTTTTTTTTTAATTTTATTTTTATTGAAGCCCTGCTGTGAAATAGGCTCTGAAATACAAACTCTCAAAGTCTCACAACATCCTTATAAAATAGGTATTATTACGTCCAAATTTTACAAATAAGTAAACAAGGCTTGGAGAAATAAGTAGTTTTCCCGAGGTCAAGCCCATCCATAAAGCAGTACTTGAACCAGTTCTACACATATTGTAGATATGTTCCTTCTTCTTTACCACACTGCCTCTCAAAAGACTACCTCATTCAAGATCCTTCCTTTGATATTATACAAACGTAACTAGGAATACAGGTGGTTCTGTTTAAATGAACGTCAGAAACAGTCAATGGGAAAAATTATTTAAATGAAGATACAACTTCCTCCGTCGTAAAACAAGTATTTGTAAAAAGAGATGCTGAAAACAAACTCATTTGCTCCTTTTTAGATAGAAGCTTTTGTTAAAAACACATGGGCCTCAAAAATCAACACCAAGTGCTTTTCCCTGTTATTTTGTTTTTAAATATGCCCTCATGCAAACCAAGACTCTTTATTCAAATAATTACATGTATCTCTGTTATATCACCTCTCCACTTACGTGTAGTTTGTTTTATTTGCTACTGCTTTAGGCTATGAATATCTCACTATGTCCTCAGCAGTACCATACTGAGACATCCTTGTATTTTCTTTTCGGGGGTCGGGCATAACACTGTAGAATATTTAACTTTTCTCAGAGTTAGTATCCATGTATAATCTGTGTCTGATCTTCCCTCAGTTTAAGTAAAATTTCTCCCCAGAAAGAATAAATGTATTAAGTTTAAGATCTATCATAAATGTTCTTGTGGGGAATATTTTAATAAAGGGGTGATGGGTTATCAGAGAGATTCTCCATCCATCTTACGGGAACACCTGAGGTTCTGTTCATGTTTAAGTCTAGATGCCACATTATCAGAACATTACCTGAGGTTGTTTTGGTGCTGGCTGAAGAAACAAGGCTGGCGAGGTTCACGACTTCTCCCGAGGTGAAGATGAAGGGAGCAGCCACAGTCACAGGGTTAGTCGTGGGGTTGGCTCTCTCGGGATTGGCATTCACCTGACTCTGCATTGCTTCCTACCAAGCAGAGCAGCATATTTCAAAGTCAGGACACTTATTAGCCTTGGCTATACAGTAACTACACAGCCCCCTCCACCCCCAACCCCTGACAGTGCTCTATCAAGCAGAACTAGCTCTGGCACACAAAGTCCCAGGGAGCTCAGCGTTCTCATTAAGGCTGTTTCTGTTTTCAGACCAGGACAACAGAGATGTTAGGTTGTTTTCCCAAGCTTGTTACTACTTTAGAAAAGCAAAGATGTATTATTGGCGAAAACTTCTAGACAACTCACTCAACCTCTCTAGGTCTTGATATTTTTTCATTTGAAAAATGAGGGGGTCAGCCTCAATAGTCTAGAAAATAATTTCCAGCACTTTCTATGATCCAATTATCTACTAGTCAACTTGCTGGCAGGGGATCCCTTATTCCCTGCAGAGAACAATATTCTCCAGAGTTTCATCCAACTACTTGTTCCATTCTGCCATTGCAGAAATTCCTAGGAGAATATAAAACAAGCAAATAATGAGTGCCAGATTTTAAAGTCTAGTTCCATATGCCGCATTCTGCTTCCAGGATACTTGCTCAGTTTCTGAGAAAAAATGCTCATGTTTATTTTTTTAGTTTCAGAAGCACTTTTCTACAGACGTGACCACTACTAAAAAAGTCCAGTTATGAAAGAGACTCTAAACAAGGAATTGAAAGCTGAAGAGGACAACCAGTCTGCAGAGAACCATCTGTCAGGAAAGACCGACAAAACCTGGAAATGCAACAGACATGGGCATCTATTTTTCCTATACAGTTATCCCCTTGCTAAGAACTTTAGTAGAAATAGATTATCCATTCTCCAGTTGCTGTTAAATTCTTCCTTGAATCTGCCCTTTTATCTACTGTCACATCCTTAGTTCAAGCCCTCAGTGGATCCTGCCTGGCCTAATGAGAGTAACTAAATAGTTCTTCAGCCTCTCTCCTCTCTCCAGCCTGTGTGCCACACTCCAACCATCATCTTTATAAAACAAATCAACTCATATCAGTCATCCTCTATCTAAAAGCTCCTATTGGATTCTCGCTGCTTATAAAAGTCTCAACTCCTTAGCATGCCATACAACACCGCTACTTCAGAGCCCAGCCTAACTCTCAAGCCTTAGCTTCTGCTATTCCCAAACGCCACTTCCTTTGCCGGTTCTCAAGTCACAGGACTACTCTTTCCTGAACATTTCATGTTCTTTCACACCTCTGTGTCTTTGATTTAATCTTCTCCTAGCCTAGAATATCATTTTCTCACTTCTCTGCCTATTTCTCCTTCAAGACTCAGTTCAAATTTTACGTATAATTAAAGCTCCCTCCTCTGTGTTCATGTAACACTTGCTAGATGTGTTTATCACGTAGTTTTATAATGCTTTATTTCCTGTCTTCTACCTCCGCAATGCTGTAAACACCCCAATAGCAGGGCCATGTCTTATGGTCTTTGGAGTCCCCATCCTAATGTTCCCAACCAAGAACAGTGCCTGGTATACAGGTGCCTGCTTAAGAGGTTAATGAGCGAATAATTACCACAGCTGGCTAATTCTGAATTCTGAAATGCTTACTCATGAACCAATACACTTTAGAGCTATGTGCTATCGCCTATCAGCTGATGTACACTCAAAACACACAGAGTGGCTTTTGATATTATCTCAAGTTAAGCCTAATTAGAAAGGGAAATGAGAAATTTTCACAGGGAGGAAAAACTAATAAATAAAGCCAAATAAATGTTATTTTTGGACTGGCCACACATTGTTCTTCAATCACCTGGAAAAATTCAGGGCTCTAACAAATTTTTTTTAAAGATTCTAATGGCACTGAGTCACAAGGCTGAAACATACCAGAAGTACTACTTTGGTAATTTTGATTCAGCTCCTACAAAAAACCCTTAACTTCAACTGAGGTATACTGTGGGGAGTATAAAAAGAACCGTACCTGGAGAATGACCAGTATCTCAGCATTGTTTTTTTCCAAGGCTATGTCCAAGGCAGATTTATCAAATTTGCTGAAAGCATGGACATCAGCTCCGTACTTGATAAGCAGCTCTACAACATCTCGATGATGATGCTCTGTGGCCCAGTGCAAAGCTGTCATCTTTAGCATGTCCTTGGCATTCACATCTGCACCGTTCTGTCCCAGAAAAAGTAATTTTTCCAACAGATACTGGTTATAGCAACACAGGTGCAAGATCCCATCACCAAATACAGATGACTTCCATCATGATTACACATATTCACATTTAGATCACGTTTAAGGAATATCAAAGAGAAAATGTTTCTCAAATTCTCCTGAACACTGACAGACATAATGATTTCCATGAGTGGGTCTTCTAAGGACATCGCTGGGAAATTATGACAGACGGGCAAGGAAGGGGAAAAGAATGTATTTGTGTTGCATGTATTAACAGAAAGCTGAGGGCCTGATAAAACGAGCATAAGTGCAGAGAACTCCTGCACAAAGGGAAGGAAAAAAAATCAATAAAGTCTGTTTACCCTTAAAAATGAGAAAACAAACTCCTCGTAGCTGTGCTGACTCTTGAAAGAGGTGCAGCTCAACGCTATAAAGTGTCCTAACTGAATCCTTCCAGCCCAGGTTCCTACCACTGTTCAAGGCAGAAAGCAGGGAGGTGGATGTCTGGCTTTACCCTGACGAGCAGCTCCACGATGTGTGCGTGTCCATCGGCTGCGGCCATGTGCAAAGGCGTTCTGTCCACTTTGGTCCGGGCATCCCTGCTAACGCCAGCTCGCAGGAGCACTTCTGCTGTGGAATAATGGCCATACTGGGCTGCAAGGTGGAGGGGTGATGTTCCGAGCTGTGGGGAAATAACCACTCATTGAACAGCCACTGTGTGGAGAGCCCTGGCTCATTACTGGAGAGACACAAACAGACAGGAGATGAATCCTACTGCTCCCGTCTTTGGGGAGAGAATCCGATTGGGCAGATAGGACTGAAAAAATTATTAAATTAAAAAACTGACAATACACTAATGGGAAAATAAATATGTCACCAGTTAAATAAGTGCTAAGTATAAGACATTTAAGTCTGGTGGATTTATCAGGTAAGATTCCCTAAAGGATATTTTAAGCAGGGCTTAGAAAAAGGTAAACAAATGGATGCATAAGAGCACTCAGAGTCAGGGGTAAAGGGAAGGGAGAGGCAAGTTCAAAACCATTCTTAGAAAAGACTAGAAAGTTACACGTGGAATTTGGGGTACAAATTTCATTGGCTGGAATTGAAGTCTGTTGCTACAGTAAAGCAAAGCAAACAAGACTAATGGGATGAAAAAGCAGTAAAAATGTCGCAATGGCATGTCAACAGCAATAAACAAGTCTATGCAATCTCAAGGCGGATCTTGTAAGAATCATCTATCAGCATCCAGTTGGCCAGAGATCCATTCCTTTCTTTGGGTTCCGCTCTTTTTTTTTTTTAAACCTATTTAGTTTATTCTTTGTTTTTCATACATTCAGCCTCTCTGCCTGACTGGATTCATCCACATTGCTCTTTTCAGGTCTATTTATAGAAATGCCGATCTCATGTGTCTTCTCTTTCTCCTTTTTCTGAGGGCTAAGAACCTGCTGGAGAACGTTCTCTCCTCAAATTGTGAAAATCAGGCAATGCTTACAAAATCTATGAGCGCTGAGAAAGCCCGTGCTATAACCTGGACCTCAGTCTTCTGAAACTCTCTGTTCTCCAAGCTGGCTATCTAGGCTCATGAAATTACACCTTGCTCTTTAATGTTTGTTAAGAGTGGTAAAGGAAACAAAATGGCTAGACTATTCCTTATTAACCGAGACATATTAGAGAAAAAGCCCAGAATTTATTAGTTTAGAAATATACTCTTATTACACTGATTTTGTTGAATTTCTAGCTGATTACAGAAGCCTATATAACACAAGTGCACTTCGGGGAGAATGAAACCTTTAGAAAATACTCTAAAAAGTATTACAGAAAACCATGAGCACAAAATACCTTACAATCACCACCTATATATCCACAGGAGATTCTTTCAATTTGAAAAAAACTAAAAGAAAAAGAAAACTACATATTCAGATGAGACAAAACAAAACTCTTCTAGGGGAATGAGGCAGAAAGAGAGTGAAGAAAAATCAGTGAAGTCTGTTTAGCCTCTAGGAAAAAGGTCGACAAAATTACACATTGGGAATAATTAAGAGACCTTTCCACTAAGCTTACCCAGTCTGTAGTGAATGGGGCGCCATTTGCCATCAACGTTCTCACTTCATCATCTTGGCCTTTTCTCGCTGCTTCTAGTAACCTCTTCCCCAAGTCCACCAAAGACATCTTTATGCATAGGAACAAGCGTTTTCAGGAAGCTATAACCCAAACACAAGGAAGGCTGCCTATAAAATGATTTTAGATTTCTTGTACTTGAACGTATATATGATGCTCCTCAAGCTGACAGGCTGGTAGGTTACTTCCTTTCTACCTCATCTAACACAGAAAATCAGATATTTGGGAAAGTTTCAAGTTCTAACCAATAGTTCTCTCATTTTCAACCTTCAGAAAAATACTTAGGAAACATGTAATATACTCTCAAAACAATTCTAATTCCACCTTTTTAATCTTAGGAATCAATAAAACAGCATTTCATCCCTTTGAAATGACCGTGGGTCGCAAGGGTTAAGAGCTACAGCTGCTAATCAAAATGTCAACAGCTAATCAAAAGGTCGACAGTTCAAATCCACCACCCACTCCTTGGAAACGCTATGGGGCAATTCTACTCTGTCTTACAGGGTCGCTATGAGTTGGAATCAACTCAATGGCAAGGTTTTTTTTTTTTTTTTTAAAGGAACATTATTTTAAGGAACACAGTACAAAGTAATAAAACATGTACTCTGATCATGCAGAACAGAATTTCAAATTTTCGTGAAATCCAGACTTTCTGGAGTCACGGAGGCTGGATGAACCTCGAAAACTATTGCCCTGAGATAATCTTGAAACCTTAAACCAAAAATATCCCAAGTCTTCTTAAAACCAAACAATAGTTTACCTTAACTAGTAAAGAAATGTCTGCCTTGAGCATTGTGCTCTTTTAAGAACTATCTGTATGGGATCAAACTGACAACAGTAGTCGAAAGATTAGATAGGAACCTTAGAGGGGAGTGAGTTTATGAATGGGGGAGGAACAACTCAAAAAAGGTGAGAATGGTTACACAACTTGAAGAATGTAATCAATGTCACTGAACTGTACATGTAGAAATTGCTGAACTGGTACATGTTCTGCTGCATATATTCTCAGCAACAACAACAACAAAATGCACCCTGATCTTTAGGCAAAAAGCAAGAAGGATGCCCAGCTGTAAAATGGCTGCTTGATGGAAATTTGGGAGCCTCTATTAGCAACTGGAGTGCCGGTGGCATAGGGTTAAGAGCTCGCCCGTTAACTAAAAGGTCAGTAGTTCAAATCCAGCAGGTCCTCCTTGGAAAACCTATGGGGCAGTTCTACTCTGTCCTGTATGGTCACTATGAGTCGGAACTAACTTGATGGCAACGGATTTAGTTTTTTTTAATTAGCAACTGCTCTTTCTGGAGGTTAGTAGATCTTCGGATGGCACAGTGAAACAGGACACATCAAGGTTTCTAAATCAACTGCATTTGTTAACCTTGTTTTTATGTTCTGACTACGGTGTAAAGACGTAATAATGCTCAAAGTTTAAGGAGAGCAAAGAAACCCTTGCTGCTCAAACACGGATCTGCCTAAGCCAGCAGTTCACAAACTATGGTTTATGGACCCCTGGTGGTTCCTGATACCCTTTCAAGGGTTCACAAAAACAAAACTATTTTTGTTACTATATTAAGGCATTATTTACTTTTTCAATATGTTAACTTTTGCACTGATGGTGTAAATCCAACAGTGGGTATAATTGCTGGTGCCTTAGTACAACTCAGACTACTGCCAGGCATTGTATTCTTCACTGCCAGGTACTCTCAGGAGGGAAAAAGCCAGTTCCACTTAAGAATGTCCTTGATGAAGCAGTAAACATTATTAATGTTATTAAACTCAACCCTTGAGTACAGGTCTTCATAATTTCTGTGTAACAAATCAGAAATATGCATAAAGCACTTCTGCTTCATTTACTTAACGTGAAATATGACGGTTTTCTTGAGGAAAAACACTGTGATTTAAGTTGTAAACTGAAGTAAATGCTTTTTTCCATGGAACACCATTTTTACATGAGCGAATGATGAACAGACAAACCAAGGATATTGAGGCTTGGGTATTTGGCAAATATTTTCCTTAACACGAACAAAGTGAGCCTGTCACTTCGAGGAAAACAACTGACATTATTTATTGCCAGTTACCAACTATAATTTGAGCTTTCAAGCAAATATCAGAATTCTGGAAAACCTGTACCCACCACTGTGAACTTGATAGCTTACTATTACTTAAAGATTTTTCTGATGAAATTAGTGGTGGTATCAATGAACGTGATTTTTTCATATTGTATAATAAAATGAATCAACGTTGGGAAGATCTGCATAATTTGGTGAACCAATATTTTCCAAATGACCAGTGTACAATGTTACAAAATCATGCATGGATAAAAAGATTCATTCAAAGTGAAAGACAGACCAATGGGCAAGGTAACAGAGTACAAAAAGCTCACTGGTATGGTTTTGGATTTCTCAATGCACCGAACTTTTAAAAAATTACCACTTGTTGAGGTTTTATGTAGCATCAAAGTACCCACAATTATCTGAAAAAGCTATTGAAATGTTCCTCTCTTTTCCAAGAACATATAACAGATTGAATGCAGAAGATATAAGAATCCAGCTGTCTAAAGAGGTTTGCAAAAATATAAAACAATGCTATTCTCCTATTTTTTTAATTTGCAAGATAGTTTTCATAAAAATTATTTATGTTAACATGTAATGGGTTTATTATTTTTAATTAATAAACATTTAAAAATTCCTAAAACAGTAAATATCAATTGATATAATACACTAGAGTCCTCAATAATTTTTAACTGTGTAAAGGAGTACTGAAACCAGAAAATCTGAGAACCACTGGCTTCAGCAAAACGTTCTGCCACTTTATGATTTAATTTTCCTATCTACAGCATAGAGTTCCGTGCTCAAGCTGCTATCCAGGAGGTCACCAGGAGAGTTTGTTCAAAATGAATATATCTGAGGATCCAGTCCAGGCTCTATTAGTATGTTCAAGGGCAAAGTGTGAACTTTTTTAGCGTGAACTCCTATACTCCTACCCAAGCATCAATCAGTTTTTCGACCTCAAGAAAATGCTAGGGAAAAAATAATAGCAAAACCTTCTTTTAGAACACTGATACTTCATATTTCTCCATGGTTATCTTCATTTTAAAATATCAAATCTGCTTTTCAATTTAATTATCTTATTACTAATAGTTAAAAACAGGAACAAATTTTAAGGTGGTTAATTAGTCAGAAATGACTCCTTCACATTTTCTCAAAATGCATTATATATAAAACGTATATCATCAAGACTTAAAAACCTCTACACTGACTGATCACAAAAGGAAAGAATATTCTATACAAAGATGCTAAAAAATGCGGGCACAAGGCTGGACTTATCTATCCTAACAATGAAATTTCAACTCTAGTCCCTACCACAAAAAAATATTCAGTTGGAGGCTGAGGTATATGTTTGACAAATTCGGTTTGCCTCATGTTGCTGATACTTCTAGAAAACAAGACACTTGAAATCAGTTGATTTTATCCCAGGCAACTGGTCTCTTCAGCACCTGAACTCTTGTAAAATATTTCTGAGCAATCCATTTTTTCCACTATCATCTGCCTTCATACATATTTTTATCACTTTTCTTTAATCATATTTGTGAGTAGTGTACTAGTACCACTCAATGGCAATCAACTCAAGTTTGTCATCCCATTCTTTAAATAGGCCACAAAAAGTCTCATTTCCTAGTGTACAAAGACACAGTTAAACTTTGGAATTAGAATGTAAATAAGGTGTAATATTCACTGCCTTATATAAAAAAGGTTTCCTACAAATGCGTTCTTCAAGGCTCTTTTCTCCCCCTACCCTGTTATTTTTCTTTCTTTTGAGTTAACCTGAAGCATCCATCGCAAGTAAAGGTAAAAGGTACATTTTAAGTAACAGCACTTTTGGTGACTGTACCATTCTCCCAGCATCCTATGTCAATGCTGGCCACCAGACAAGAGATGGAGCCTAAGAGACTAGAGCACAGTCTAGGCACTTCCGGGCTCCCTCATTACCAAGAAGGAAGGGCAAACATTCTCCCTCAGGTTAGGTACCTCCATTTTCCCTGTGTATCAGATGAGGAAACACTGATTTTACTTGCCTCGCAGGGTTTTAGAGATGAATGATAAAAGAACACAAAGCACCCACTCCTCCTCCCACACACACACACACACACACACACAAGAACTTTCGATGTGTGTTTTAATAATTTATGAAGTGCTTGAGCTCTTGACAACAAAGTACTCTATTAAAAAGGAGTGATTACTTTTGTTTCTATTAAGAATTTGGGTGGGGCAGTTCTCCATCATTGTTATCAAAGGATGTATGAAAAAAATGCTTCAAGAACACCTCATGATACGACAGAATTATGGTCCCAAATGGACAAAATGTTGTCAAACTGTTGAAGGTAAGCCATGGAAAAATCTTTTTCCACAGGCGTTTAAAAAAAAAAAAAAGAGAGAGACCCTTGAGCGCAGTCCTTCTGGGAAGGAATGCGATGGTCTCTGCAGGGTACCGCCGGCTCCAGGAAATTTGTGGTTATAGCAAAAAGCTAACGGGAAAGAGAACTGAAGAATTTATGGTCTGACAATCAATTTTGTTTTATCTTTTTGCACTGCACACGACCCCACTGGGCCGCCAGCTGGACAAACTGTGCGAAAGTCGCGGCGGGGCCCTTACCGCTCTTGCGCGGATTACTCGGCTCACTAAGGTTATCATTGGGGTCAGAGAAGTGGATTCCCGCTTCCCCCCCATCATAAACCCTCCAGTTCCTCACACCCGTCTCCCGTCTTTCAGAAAGAAGGGAGCCAGTTTGGGGGAAGACGCCAAGGTCTCCCTCAGCTTCGGGGACAGCCCCCCGCCCGGCTCCGCGCCGCCCCCTAGTGGTCACCTCTGTGGCCCGGGCTCCCCTTGGTCCAGCTCCCCAGCCCCAAGTCTCACACCCACCCCCTCCTTCACCTCTTCCCAGTCCCCTCCCCTTCCTTCCGAAAGCATCCCCTTCCTCTCTCTTCCCATCCCCCGGCAGCCCCCGCTCGGTTCAGTCTGCACCCAGAAGTCCAGGGCTACTCTCCGAAGGGGGGAGACCTCCCATGGCGCTCTGCCTTCCAGCCCTGACGCCCCCCGCATCCCAGGCATCTCTTCTTCCCCCTCACCTCCTCGTCCGGGACGCTGCCGGCTGCGCTTCCACCGAGCCCGCCAGTTTGGTCCTGTTTCCTTCTCTAGTTAAGACTCCTTGTCAGTGACGGTTACTTTTTGGCCTTTTCATATATGCATATTTTGGGGGCCTTTAACCCCCCCTCGTGGAGAAATGGAGGCAACAAAATGGCGGACCCGGAAGTGAAGGCGCAGCGAGGGCGAAATCTGACGGAGGAATGCGTGGAGGGAAAATGATTAGAAAACCCACGTTTCCTTCCGAAGAGATGGGTGATACACCTCCGAGGCTCATTTCGTATGTACTGAAGGCCTTTTGAGGTGAAAAAGTGTGTATCCGAGAGATCCTATCAGGACTACTTAGCGAGGCGGAGGATTATTTGATTACGTGTCGTATAGTTCCGGCAGGGGCGGCCCGATGGTTTGTTTTGGCGCCCGGGGCTCGGAGACCTCTGAGGGGGGATCAGATTCTGCACGGGTCTTGGAGTTAGCAGCCTCTCTCTTGGCTGGTTCTCCGGGCCGCCGGTTTTAGAGTTGACGGGAACACTTGCTGCCGTATCCCAGCCTTGCCCGAAGTTTGGATCGTTTCACATGAATTGGGTTCTGGTGCCTGACACATATTTCTAGGCTGAATAGAAGGATCTCGGAGCCAAGTTGTCAGGGCGAACAGTGAAATAAATAACTGGATCACTTTTTCAGGGGGATCTGGAAAGGGATGAAAGATGTGGCAGTCTGCTTCCGTAAAGATTGCAGCCTAGGAAACCCTATTGCGCAGTTGTACCCTGGCCAATGGGGTCGCTTTGAGTCGGAATTCGACTCACCGACGAAGGGTTTGGTTTTTCTTTTTGGAAAAGGAAGAAGCCTCCAGTTTGCAAATCCAATGGCCGTGATAGAAGGACTGCGCTGGTCCTAACACAGCCAGAGTCGTCTGTTCAAAAATCCATAAAAATAGAAAAGGACATATCACTGAACCTTCCTAGCGCCGTTCTTCATTTTGTTTTGTCATTGATGGTGGCCCTTTTAAGTCCTAGGAGGAAGATTTACATGGCTCTCCCTTCTCTGAACTTGTCTAGGTCTGGCTAGGCTAATTTTTACTTATGGCATACTGCCAAGATTATCCATATTGGTATTTGTTGTTGATTTTCTGAAGTCTCTGCATGGCGACCCCATGTGTGCATGAGTAGAACTGCTCTTTCAGAAGCAGATCGCCAGGCCTTACTTTCGAGGCACCTTGGGGGGTGGTTTGAACAGTCAGCCTTTTCGTTAGTACTCCAGTTTTCCAACCTAGAAATTCTCTTGGTATTTACTTCCCTTTTTAACAACTGAGGGTAGGACTCTTGATTCATTCCTATTTACATCTTTTTATATTGTCTGATCAATGCTTTTCATATAGCAGGCACACAAATTTTCTAAGCTAGGTTCAAATAGTTTTTTTAGAGTGAGGTCAGTTATACATAAGCAAATAACATTTGAGTGAATTTATTTTCTTAGGGCACCTAGATTGAGGTCATGATGAGCAGATTTAGAACCACAGGTGCCTCCTGAGACATCTAGGAGAATTATTACCTGAAATATAACGCTAGTAGTCAGTAGGCAACCAGATGGGCCCTAATAGAGTGGTTGGTTGTGGGTTTCTCCTAACTACCTTGCTAATTTTAAGTTGATTTCATCCTTATTACCTACCTGTTCAACCTGAAGTTCACTAATTTTACAAAGAAAAGCTATTCAAATCATTCTCCCTCAAAGTAGATTAGAAAGATAAAATAAGCTGAATGTGAAAGCAACGCTAATTTCTGAGATCTATAATTCTTCCCTGTGAAGAGAGAGAAAACTAGAATTCAGTCCTGGGATTGAATGCCTTTATTAAATAAATGAGTAAATGGCAGCACAAATCTGCAGCAATAACTTTGGAAAGGATGGGGACAAGGTGTAGGGTCAGAATGTGAGTGTTCATTTCATGGTCTCAAGGTGGCTGAAGAACTGTGCCCAAGGCCCATTGATCAGTATTATACACTGTAAATACAATACGAGGGCAAGACTAAAATACTAAACACCAAACCCTATGCCTTTTAAAAGGTTGAGTCAAAACCTTACAAGTTATCGTAATCATCAGCAAGACTGCATCATAAGATTTGAAATCTAATTTTCCTCAGCTAGATTCTTCAACCCACAGTTTAGAACAAAGTTGTAAAATGAATAGGCTTGAAGAAACACATTTTTGAAAAAGGGAGCACTTAGCTGTTTCTGAAATGATTCAATGCTTTCCTCTATTTTCCTTTTCCATGATGTATTAATTCCTCCTATCTTACGTCTTTATCTAACCCCAATTTATCTGAGGAAAAGAGAGTATTATAAGAACGTCTAGGATCAAAAAAGCAAGAGTCTTTTACCACCTTAGTCTTTTAAAAATCCTACTGTTTTGTAGCAGATAATCCCAAATTAAAACTCCTGAGGCTTTCATCAACCCTTGAAGAAATATTTGGTTACTGGAACAGGAAATCAGGAAGGTTTCAGCAATTTCTTCGGCTGATTAAAATGGAGTAAAAATCAGTCCTCCATTTTGTCCTACTGTACTGCTCTTTGATGCCCCCATCAGGCCTGCTGTCCAGAGTTAATATCTGAGGGGAAAAGGGGGAATCCCTGTGACCCAATACTCCATTGCTTCAATCCTTTACTTTGTGGCTTGAGGGCTTTTGAGAGAAATGGAGAAGGAAGATAAATAGATAAATAAATAAATACAACTCTGACAGATTCATCAGCACCACCTGAACACAAGGGCGGGGAGAGAGCAAGATTAAAAGGAGAAAGGTGTGGAAAGGAAGGAGCTGGAAGGGAAGACGATAAGGGCAAGGTGGTGGCAGAGACGAGTCTTGGCCTTAGAGCAAGTCCAACTCAAAGGAGTGGATGCTGGCAATGGGAGCTCTCCAGAAGTTGAAGGTGCTATACTCAAGGAGGGCATCGCCTTCAGGGGTTTTCTCCTGCTCTGCTCTGGTTGCTTGTCCCGTCATTTTGCCATCACTGTTGCTCTTGATCTTGTAGGTGGCTGTATCTGACAGACCCAGGCCTTCCAGCTCCGACAGATCCGGTTCTGGGATGGGCATCCTCCAGAAAAGAAAGGAGCTGTACTGGCTACTCACAGGGTCCCTCATAGCTTCCTAGAAAGAAACCACTTGTCAGTTTTCACACTATAGCAACCTCCTTGTGGCCCATGGCCTTTCCTTGCTTACAAACTCCACACCCCCATTTACCTCTGCCGATGATCCAAGTTCCCAAGGACAAACTTCAGGAACCCTTCCTCCATTACCATTTCCTACTCTATTTGTAACTTTTCCCATCTTGGAATGACTCATTTATTGCCTACTGCATCTAGTTGATCTTGGGTCTGGTTTTCAAGGCCTTCCAAAATCTGACCCCATTCCTCCTAGTAGTATACATCCTCTACTACAGTTATGTTCATTCCTGCCTTGCTTACCTCTCTCCACTCTCCATCTTAAACGACTATTCTAGTTTCAAGGCTCTGTGTAAGTCCCTAGAGGAGTCTTTCCTATTATATTTACAAATATTTGACTTCTTCCTGCCTTGGTCATGGTACCTCTGAAAAGGTTTTCCATGACATTTGTTTTCTGTTTTCCTTCTTAACTCTACTATAAACTGACCTCTTTGTGGATGACATCCTTAAACGTTCCCAGCTCCATCTACCCTATTTCCTCCAGCATCCCCTCAACACTCCCGTAGAAGTTTACCTGACTATATCTATTTGGGGTTACAGGTCACTATTATGTGTCTTGTGTAGGCGATGGTCTTATCTCCTTCAACAGACTGGGAATTTCTCCAAGGGTAAATACAAGTCTACTTTTCTCTGTACCTTCTCCAGAAGTGCTGAGCTCTGCACACCAAAGACTCAAAGCTGCTCACTAATTTTCCCTCACTATTTAATACAATGAACACCTTGCATCTATAGTCCACAGGTATGCCTTAACAGATTATTTCTCTCTAGCCTACTGCTCCTTCAAAGTAAAACCCAGGTTCTGAAAGAATTTTCCTGTGCTGTAATAGGATCCCTTTTCTCAGATCCCAATGCCAGAATACACCTGATAGTAGAGAGCAAATGGATTGGAAATTCCAGGTAATACAAGCAAGATTTAGAGTGAAAGGGGAAGATCTCTTAACAGAATCAGCTACTTTTTCATGCTTCAGTGATTAATTCTATCACCTTTTCTGCTCAGCTCACCCACACCCTGATGTTATATGGCTCTTGTATCTCCCTATGGCCTCCTCCCTGCTGCTTACTAGCCAAGGGAAGGAGCATTAGTTGAAATGTTCCCAAAGGAGCAGAAAGAACATTGCCCTGTCTCCAAAAATAAAATCTCAAGTTTCAAAGTGCCTCCTTTCAACACGCACCATTGGCTCTCACAAGGAGTGTGACTCCTAACTATTGATCTTACACAGGTGCCCAAAACGCCCCCATATAATGGGAAATGTCATTACGAAACAGCAAAGGAAAACCTTAGCATAGAACAGGGCTATGTGTGAGTGTGGGGGCTTCAAGGAGTGGTGAGTGGGTAGACGAGGATGTTTTTAATATTAAAAGTGATTTCTAAGTTGCTCTTTTTCTTCTTAGGCAGGCTCAAGCTCCAAAACCAACCTCGGGAACTGAACATTACTCAGCAGATTAGCTGCTTAGAAGGAGGGTGATGCAGGGAAGACTAGAGCAGGGTGGGGAGCATGTTGGAAAGGTGATGTCATCATCCTACAATAGTCAGCTCTGATCATCTCCAGTCATTAGCAGAGACATGTGCATTGACAGACACAGAAAATGGCTGTAGCTATTAACCAACCAGCCTCTGCTTGGGTTCAGGACTCTAGAGATCCCAAGAAGCCAGCCCTAGGAGTCAATAGTGTTACTGACTTCTGCCCACAGGGATTTTTTTCTTATAATATTACCCGTATTTTCTTAGCTAGCTGGCTTCTTTTACATCCCCTCTCTTACAGTTCCCCTCCAGGGTGAGCTTAGCACAGGGTGTGCTAGGCACATAACAGGCTTTAAAAAAATAGAATCATGGGGGGAAAAAACCTACAGAATTTTAAAAGTAGAAGGCACCTTAGAAATTATCTAGTGGTTTGTGAAAGCTTTCAGCCAGTTTGGATAGACTCATGTCTCGTAATTCCCAATCTGGTCCGTTTTCAATGTACTGTACACAGGTATGGCCCCAACAGTCCCTGACTGTGCCTGAAGAGCTTATCTTGCAATTAAAAAAGCTAAAGGGAATATTTACAAAATGCCGAAGTCCTAAAATCTCTAGTTATACCACTGACCTAGCGACATGTACAGAGAGTAGCAAATGCATTCTGGAAAGACACTCATACAAGCAGATGCGGCATTTAAAATCAAGTCAGGAACATAAGACTACACCATTAAAAAAAAACTGCTGTCGAGTCAATTCCAACTCATAGCGATCCTACAGGACAGAGGGTTTCCAAACAGCAGCTGGTGGATTCAAACTGCTGACCTTTTGTTTGGCTGCCGAGCTTTTAACCTCTGCACCACCAAGACTCCTGACTATACCTTAAGACCGCAAACCAAACCCGTTGCTGTCATGAGTCAATTCCAACTCACAGCGACCCTACAGAACAGGACAGAACTGTCCCATAGGGTTTCCAAGGAGTGGCTGGTGGATTCCAACTGCCGACCCCAGCTCTTCAGCCACTGTGCCACCAGAGCTCCGAGTACACCTTAGGGAAGCTACAATTCCCTTTACATTAGTAATGAAATTCTGACTTAACGTGATGTGCTTTTAATTTCCAAGCACCCCGAATTTTGCAAAAGGTCTTTTCTCAGCTAGCTTTCCCTCCCCTCTCTCTCTCCCCAAATGTCCTCCACGCATACCTCATGGTGGTACGGGCACTACTTTATATCATTTACTTATCTTAAAGGGCTTGGACAGTACCTTTTATCACAATACATTCTCACTATCCTTCATTTTAAATTATCTAGATATTTTAGATAAAGATAACTTGTAAATATCCCTCTCTATATTCTTAGATACATGAGAGAATATAGAGATTGAAAAGACACGCCCTCTCTGAGCCGCACAGACATACTTGAGTACCCTTTGTCCTGACCCTCTGCGGGCCTTCCTAGACATCCAGGGCCTACCCAACAGGGCCTTGCTGTGTCACGCTGCCATGGTGCTGGGGAGGGGCGGAGGGGCGAGGGATGCTACAGGGGAATGGAAGCTCTCTGGGGTCTCATCAGAGGTGCCTCACCCTGAGCTTGGCTTTTCCTATTAGCTATGACTTTCCCCCACCTATTTCATTGAGCTGCAAATAAACATTTCTCTTCCAGAATCTGTCCCCATACCTAGCTCCCATGGCTATCCTGATTGCAATATGGGATCCGGCAGCTTTCCGACACAGAGGGCCTCACCCTTCCTACCACAAGCTGCCTCCTCCTTTGGAGCAAAGGTTTGAGATGGGGAGGAGACCACTCAAAGGGAGGTCAGGATTACTCTAAATATTATACCACACTCCTCCCTCCCCAAATTCCCTCCTACAGAGACAAGTTTGGGGGTGAGGGTAGAAACATCAATGACACATTAAGAGAAAGGAACAATTGGAAATATAGAGAAGTAGAGGCTAGAGTGATACAGTAGGAATAAAGATTTGTCAAAAACCTGGTAGGTCAAATCGTAAGAGCTTGAAAAGGAAAATATAAATAATTAGACTGACGATTACACTACAGAGGACAATGAATTACAGAAAAATAGATCCTTGAAATAAGGAGGTAGGTGCTGAGAGAGAACCACATGTAAATGGTTAGAAATACCTATGTAAAAGACAGCAAGCAAGGTGGAGAAACTACCCATTGTTCAGAGCGCCCCCTTCTCTGGAACTGTCCCCCAACCTCATCATTTGGGGTTCTCAACCTAACCGCAGGAAGCTATTCTTAAATCTTTGCAAAACCCCCCCCTTCCCCATCCTTCAGTTTAGTTCACCTGTTATCAAGGAATTACTAGCGTGTTCCAAAGGTGGAGGAAGTGCCTCTGGGGCTCCGGGATCTGCTCTGGGCTGGAGAAAAAGGAGGCTGGTGGGGCTCTGATGGCTTTGTCTTCTGCCTCTCGCTCCTCAACGACTGAGGCAGTGTGCTCAGCTCCCCCTGCAATGCAGCCCCTCCTAAGAAGGGCGGAAGGACTCCCGCCCCCACCTCCTCCCAGCCTGACTCGCCGGTTTCCAGCGAAAGGTTCCAGAACGCCTGAGGGAGGGAGAGGATGAAGCCATCTCCTTAGGGCTCTTGGTCTGGACGATTAAATTATTCCCGATCTCTTCCAGCACCTCATACTGACGCGCGTGCAATGAATGAGCAATTGTCTTTTGCTTTAATCTTATGCGTATGGATTAAGAGATCTTAACTCTGCAGACAATGCAAAGGGCAGTGTCCTTTTCTTCCCCAATTTAAGGATTTCAGATTATGAGGTGTTTTTGAGAATCACAACAACTCCTCACCGGTCCCCCTAATCTCCACGCCTCCCTTCTCACCCTCACACGTAGGTAAATAAAACTAGCCCCTTTCCCTTTTGCGTCGAGCACGAGAAGACTGGGGTGTGTGCGCATCTCGGCGCTCGGGTGGGTCTGGGGGGTTTGGGGCTCCGCTTCGTTTAGCCCCGCAGTGCCCGGTGCGCGAGGGGAGCGTGCGATGCCGGGCGCCCAGCGGCGGAGCCGGGCCCTCAGGGAGGGGTCCACGTCCTCGGGCTCGCCGTCGGGGGCGGCGGCC